CGTCAACCTCTGAGCCAGAGATGACATCTCCAGGTATTCCAGGTATACCGTTTCAGCAAAACAAACAAAACAAAACATTTTTATGTGGAACTTTCTCATCTCTGAAGATTAATTTATTCAGTTACAGAAATAAGCGGAAAAAACATCTCCAAACTGTACAAAACATGGTAATGCACCCCCCCCCCAACTTCCCACCCTTGCAACAAATCCAACCCCTGAAGAAAAAAAATGTTTTTAAAAAACCCAAACAACTAAGGACAAAAATCAAAAACAATGAACTGACCTAGTAAAAAGGATTCTCCATTCGTACAACATGTTAACACTGAATTCACCAACCTTGCCCGGATCTAAAAATCTAAGACAAATCCATAGCAAGCAATCCTGAACAGAAGTAAAAGGGGCGTAACATAAAACAAAGAGGTCCCCGAGAGGAGATTCTTTTACCCTTGAACTACTTCAGAAAGCACAAGTCGGTCAGCAGAAAAGATAGAGAGGCCTGACTCGTGAGCTCTCACGTCTAGACAAAGAAGAAAAAAACAAGATCCAATCAAAACAGTGCTGTTATAATCTATCGTTGCAGCTCTTCTACAAAACAAAACAAAACAAAACAAAAAGACACTGTACCCACACATACAATTTACTCGAAGAACTAAATCCAAAGACTATAATCTTATTTAGAAGAATGGTACACATAAGATACCGTACTATTTTAACGTTTTTTTTTCTCTCTTCAAAACAGTGTTTAATTGTAAGCAGAGTCAAAGCTCACCTGAAAATCCCAGGTTGTGGCATCTTTGTGGCATCTAGCCAGTCCGATGATCTCTGATAGCCTGTCCGCCACGAGCAGCTGCTGTCGAGGCCTTCATGCGGAATTATCCGCGCAGGTTCCAGCACCACAGTCACTAGTCAGTTCCTTCGACTATCAGAAGGAAAATTCGAATACAATGACTATTCGACTAGTACTCTATCTTTTCGAATGTTTCGTGAGTTAGAAAAGATTTGCTATTTTAGTGTGATAACGGCTTTTATTCACATATTAGTATTAGGGTTGAACCTTTTTTTTTTGAGAGCATCCGACTAAAGAAATGGGTGTGAAACATGATATTGATGGTTGATAACTGTTTGTAATTGGTGGTATTTAAAAAAGAAGAAGAAGAAATAAGGCTTTTGCTAAGAAAAAAAAATGAGTGTCGACTTTGTGATAAAGCAGGATGCAACAACTGATGGAAAACGGAAAGCAGATTTTGAGAGATCAAGCTTAGTATCTCTAAATTCAAGAACTTTTATTAAACTAGCTGCTCGTCTTTGAGCCTTCTATTGTGACTCTTCAACAACAAGAGAGAGAGAGAGAGAAAGAGAGAGAGAGAGAGAGAGAGAGAGAGAGAGAGAGAGAGACAGAGGCAGACAGACAGACAGACAGACAGACAGACAGACAGACAGACAGACAGAGAGCAAGGGAGAGAGAAAGAGAGAAAGAGAGAGAAAAAGAGAGAGAGAAAGAAAGAGAGAGAGAAA